GAACAGGAAACGGCACTCCTGGCCGGGACCAGGGAACTGGAGTCATTGGAACAGGAAACGGCACTCCTGGCCGTGATGAGGGAACTGGAGTCATTTGAACAGGAAACGGCACTCCTGGCCGGGACCAGGGAACTGGAGTCATTGGAACAGGAAACGGCACTCCTGGCTGTGACGAGGGAACTGGGGCGGACTCAAGGACTGGAGCGGGCTCTCATGCTGAATCGAGGACTGGAGCAGACACCACCGCCTCGGGAGGTTCTGCAGCCTCTGCTGCCACCTCTGGGGAAACTGCGGTGGTGTGTGTGGCCCAAACACATAGAATAGAGACTGCCATTACATGGAGCACTAAGTCCAGGGGAATAGTCTCGGTGATGACTAGAGCTGAGGCCCTTGGGATGCCCGCTGCTCTGGCTGACATCACCGGAAGATCCTCCACACTGGATGCCAGTCTCAGACGCCTTGGAATTGACCTTGAGGCACTGGGAAAGGTCGCCATGACGTGAGGAGACTCTGGAACGGTGGCCTTGACGGGACGAGACTCTGGAACAGTGGCCATGACGGGATTAGACTCTGGAACGGCGGCCATGATGGGACGAGACTCTGGAACGGCGGCCATGACGGGACGAGACTCTGGAACGGCGGTCATCTTGTGGAGAGACTCTGGGTTGACAGTCATCTTGTGCAAAGACTCTGGGCTGGCGGCCATCTTGTGAATAGGTTCTGGTGTGACAGCCACTGGACTTGGGAGTGCTGAGAGCACAGGAGTGGCGACCATAATCACTGGACTTGGCGGTGAACTCAGTGAACCAAGCTCCACTGTCACTGGAGCTTGCCGGTTATGGTCCCCCCCCCAAAAAAACTCTTAGGGGTCTTAACATCCTCTGCCTCTCCCACAGTGAACGGGGAACCGGTTAATGACAGGGCATAATCCAGGAACTGACACAGTGACCCTCGAGGACCATCACAGGGGAGTATGGTTTTTAACGGTTCATTTAGTCCATAACAGAAAAAGTCAATAAGCATGAAGTCCAGGAGATCAGAAAGGTAAGCAATGTCCAGAAAGTCTTGAACGTGGTCCTCGAGGGAACGCATTCCCTGAAGGAGGCGAACTAACCTGAGTGCTGGGTCCATGGTTGGCCTGAGACACTCGATAAAGCCGCTGGATCCGGGTGTGGCTCAGTATTCTGTAACGTGGAGGCGTGACAACAGAGTTGAGGATCCAAGTGCAGGCTTTATTTAACAGAATGGTCAAAACAGGCAGGGTCAAACAACAGCAAACAGGTATAATCCAGGAAGAGACAAAAGAGTAATCAAATAAACAGGCGAAGGTCAAGACAGGCAGCAAACGATCAGAAACAAGGTAACAAACCAGGCTTTAAATAGGGTGAGACAGATGAGATAAGACACATGTGAATGCAATCAGAGATAATGAGTCCAGGCAAAGGATTATGGGGAATGTAGTAGTGAGGGAGTGACAACAGTCTGGGGTGAATGGCAAAGGTACAGGATGGAGTGCCCTCTAGTGGAGCTTGTGGGCACTCCAGCTAGAGATCGTGACAATAACAAACAATTCCAAGTACTTATAATCTGGTGTGACAGCCACTGGACTTGGGAGTGCTGAGAGCACAGGAGTGGCGACCATAATCACTGGACTTGGCGGTGAACTCAGTGAACCAAGCTCCACTGTCACTGGAGCTTGCCGGTTATGGTCCCCCCCCCAAAAAAACTCTTAGGGGTCTTAACATCCTCTGCCTCTCCCACAGTGAACGGGGAACCGGTTAATGACAGGGCATAATCCAGGAACTGACACAGTGACCCTCGAGGACCATCACAGGGGAGTATGGTTTTTAACGGTTCATTTAGTCCATAACAGAAAAAGTCAATAAGCATGAAGTCCAGGAGATCAGAAAGGTAAGCAATGTCCAGAAAGTCTTGAACGTGGTCCTCGAGGGAACGCATTCCCTGAAGGAGGCGAACTAACCTGAGTGCTGGGTCCATGGTTGGCCTGAGACACTCGATAAAGCCGCTGGATCCGGGTGTGGCTCAGTATTCTGTAACGTGGAGGCGTGACAACAGAGTTGAGGATCCAAGTGCAGGCTTTATTTAACAGAATGGTCAAAACAGGCAGGGTCAAACAACAGCAAACAGGTATAATCCAGGAAGAGACAAAAGAGTAATCAAATAAACAGGCGAAGGTCAAGACAGGCAGCAAACGATCAGAAACAAGGTAACAAACCAGGCTTTAAATAGGGTGAGACAGATGAGATAAGACACATGTGAATGCAATCAGAGATAATGAGTCCAGGCAAAGGATTATGGGGAATGTAGTAGTGAGGGAGTGACAACAGTCTGGGGTGAATGGCAAAGGTACAGGATGGAGTGCCCTCTAGTGGAGCTTGTGGGCACTCCAGCTAGAGATCGTGACAATAACAAACAATTCCAAGTACTTATAAGTACTTATAATAGAATTTACTCTTTTTTTATTCTTGTCTGAACTAAATTATTTAATGTAGAAATTACATTTGTTTTTCCGTAGTAGCCTTTACTTCACCACAAAATCATTTTTATCAGTGTTATGTGCCTGGTTCAAATTATTGTTGACTTCCGTCAGCATTTTTTTTTTTTTTAAACTGATCTACAAGAATGTCACTTTTCTACATGACATTCTTGACAGTAGCAAGGAAGTAGGAAGTACAGTATGTGCTTAACCCCTTAGCATTCCTGTAAAATTTACCCAAAGTAAATTGCATGCTGTTCTTAAACCACTTGGAGTATATGCATGGTTTTGGTGTCTTTGGTGTCTCACTGTCTTACTGGTACTGAGCAATACAAATTAGAATACAAAATACAAAAATAGAACTTTTAGAACACTGAAAAAAAGAGAAAAAAAAAACTTTCTGCCTACATTTTTTTGTAAACAGATGCCTGCAGATGACTATAGCAATATAGATGGGAGTGATTAGCTGACACAATGGGATCACAGCATGAAGCCTTGTTGGTGGACTGATAAAGACACTGATTGTACCTGCTGTGTTGATTTTATCTTAAAATGCATCATTCAAATTACATGAATCTCAGCTCTCCAAAGATATGTGACAAGTTTAGCTTGTCAAAAAAACTTTTTTTTTTTGAGTTGTTGTATGTCATGAAGTACAGTGGAACGCTAACAGGTTTATTTGAAGTCACTTAATCACATATTTAGGAGATGTACTATTAATGGCATTATTTCTTACCATGGTTTAACACATCTAAACCTTTGCACTATAGCACA